GTCTTACTGCCGAACAGGCGCTTGAGCATGAATGGCTCAGAGAACCTCTACCGAGTCCGATCGGTGTACCGGGTGACATTTTCTGATAACACTTGTGATGTCGTTGCCTTATGGAGCATGAACTTCAATGATTAATAATAAAAATGATGAATAATATTTACATAATATTTCAGAAATTATACATACTCGCTCCTCATCCAATAGTGCTTCATAATCTCGTTGCATGTCTAATTTGCTTCGTTGTATTTCACACTTTTTTTTTTTGATAATACGAAAAATCCTATTAAAGTCTCTATCAAAAGGATTACAATAAAACGCAATCAAAGAAATCTTACAGATTGAATTCGAAATTTCTTCATAACTATCTGCAATGTTGTTTCATATTCTTTAATTATAGACAATAGTTCTGAATTTTCTTCATTTAATTGTCGATTTTCATAAATTAGCTGTGCATTCTGACGCTCTATATCTGTCCCAGCTTCAAACGTTGGACCTTTAAAAATAGATATTAAATAAACAGATCATTCTATGGAAATATCTAAAGTCTTTGGGACGAATAAAAGGTCTTTATTCATATACCTTTATAATTTGAACGATTTAAAGAGCCCTCGTATCTTTCAACACGACTCTTTTAGCAATTGAAACACATAAGTAAAAATGCATTTTATATATAATTCGCATTTTTCCGAGCATATTTACTTTTAATTCATCCACTTGTTGCTGTAACCGCCTCACTTGTTCACGATTGACTGCAAGTTGACTACAAAGTTCTTGCGTAAGTTTTCTAAGTCGAGGATCTTCTTCGCTACTACTTGGTGCCATATCTGGTGTCATGTCGTAATTAATGAACAATTAAAAATGTCAAGAGTTGATACCCGGTTTGGTAATTACGTTAACGTTAAATTCATGCAGTAGTAATTTTCGGAGATCATATCGGTTACGACTTGTTATGACAAATAACAGGAACGATATCCGACAATTACCGATTAAAATAATTCTTGTGACAGGAATCGGTTCGATCAATTTTAATCAGTTTTTATTATAATCAATATACATCGATATACAAGCCGACAAGTCTATTCGATGAATCAAAAAGGTTTAATCCTTATATATATCGGTGGCAAAGTCATGTTTCATAATACAAAAAATATAGATGACGTAACTGTGATTAATAATTACATTAAACAGTGGACTAACTTTCTTATAAAACAATTTCACTCTTAGATCAATACGAAATCATGATTATTGCAACCCGAAAAAAATAAAAACCAAAACTACAAAACAAGGTCTTTTACTACTACAAACTTAAACTATAACAAAAGTAATATTGAATTGAAATCTACTGCTACTCGACGTAAAATACATTAGCAACATCCTCGTCCGCTTCCTTTTTGGATGTTTCTAACAAATTAGCAAGGCTGTGGTTTCTCGAATGAGTTCTAAGGTGGTTGATCGCTTTGACTGTGTCGATAGCCTTCTTAAATGTTTTACGGGCATTAAAATTAGTACGAACACTATGCAACAAATCGAAGTCACCCGGTACACCGATCGGACTCGGTAGAGGTTCTCTGAGCCATTCATGCTCAAGCGCCTGTTCGGCAGTAAGAC